CACACACACACACACACACACACACACACATGTTCCCAGTAAAAGGGAAAAAAAACAACAAACAACACGAATACCAATCTGCATCTACAGGCTCCAAATGCATTTTCCCTATCCAAAACGCCATACAAAACTACACGCATTTCCTGTTTTATTTATAATGATGGAAGATGTATTTAACATCACCGTTAGCTGTAAAGATTTCAATTTAGACTTCAGTACGCGCTACTCTCTTTTGGAAGTCCATTTAGGCTTTCTTAGATTTGATTTGTTTGTGGAATTTGATTTGGTTCCCACTAACCTGGCTCAGTATTTTCTGAACTGTATTTTAAAAAGGATGCCCTATCGCTTGCACATGACTGAATATGTTGAAGGTAAAGTTTGATATTCTACGCCATCCGACACTTGGACAAAAGTACTTTGAGGTTGGCATTAAAAGGTTATAATAATAAATTAATATATAACAACTCCACTCACAATCTATTGGACTTCAAGATTGATTAATGTATTTATTTGTAGTTCAGATTCTTTATCAAGCATAAAGATAAACACATAGTTTACTGGCTTTACTTAGTACTTTTAGTAGCATAGTTCTTGAAGTGCTAATGAATCCAGGACAGAATGACATGGCACATATTATTAACTGTTGTCGCTCATATTAATCCCTGAACGAACTGCTGTTTTCGTTTCAGACAATGAATTCATGAGAAGGATACGTTTCCTCCGTTTGTTTTAATTTTATTTCAATTCAATAGATTAGCTGGTTACCTAAAAAAAAATAAAAAATAAAGGTTCACCAAAAAAGTGTAAGCTTTCGTTTCATATACTCAAATCTATGTTTGCAATTAATGAGATTTTGCTTTGAATATTTCCAATGTGTTTTTGTGTGTGTGTGTGTGTGAGTGTATGTAAAATCGGTGAACATTGGCTTTTATTTATATGGAGAAGATCCACACACAGTTTAATTTCCGAGTATTTCCCTTTGAAAAAGAACGAAAATAAAAAATGTAAGCTCGAGATTTTTCCATTTGCCTCATGGGAAAAGGAACCACTAAAAATTCCTAATGTTCAGATCCATATGTTGATCTTCATGTCCAGCGTTAAAGAGATTGTTGAGTCAGATGGACGATGTAAGAAGGGAAGGGACTGTTTTATATTTTGTAAGCACTACAAAATTATTTTAAAAGTAGATGGAACCTTTTCAGCATGTTATCAGGGACACAACCAAATATTTCACCTATTGTTTGAAAAGTCTAGTATCAAAATAGCTACCAAAGAAGAATATAAATAGACAAAAAAAATGTCTAGAAAAACTAACGAACAACATAAAAAAAAACTTTGCTATACGTAAAGTAAGCCATCTTGAGCATGTCTTTATAGTGCATCTCTGTTTGACACCAAACGTATCAGAGAAAGGGATGGTTACGGGTAATGATAGTCATATTTTGACAATGATATAGGGTATCTCTACGCTCTTACCCCACCCATCACCAACGAACCTGCAATATTTGTGCAACTATCACACAATGACACGCTCATTTACATTTCTGTCCCTCTCGCAACTGTGTCTGTACAAGTAGCGGATTTATGTAGGCAGATAGAAGGTTAATTTGGAAGAAGATTAAAAGAGGGGAGGGGGGTCTTTTCTTCTGTATCGTTCTTATCGGGGTTGCCGAAGCAGGCGTGGTGTGAGAATGATAACTTTTTCAACAGTTTAAAGTTATTCAAGAGATGGGACTACATAATTCAACTTCCGTCTCTGATAAGAACGAGTCATGTAGGATGGGAGGGTTGGATACTTACAAGACAACCCAATTTTGAGAATGCCCCTTTCGGGCTTTGCACCATGGTCGTCAGCAGCATAGCTTAGAATTTTATGGACTGAGCTATCGGTATGTCTTTAGCGTCAGTCACCTAAAACTGCATGTTTCTGCAGCGTAGTTTATGCGACAGGTATGATAATTTTGAAGTTTATCCACGAGCAGACTCCGAAAATCATAAACCTTCCAATGGAGATTTTTCCTCTTGACTGAATTTACTTGTGGAGAAAATGTTCTGTTTTTTAGAATAATCAGAAAGTGTTCTCATATTGCGTCTAGTCTCACATCTAGAAATTCTTACGGATTAAATGACTCCAGTTGATGACAAATTTACTCTTTTATGTAGATGCTGCGCCTATCGGCACAATTTAAATTATTTAGGGGGCGTGCTTCGCCCTGCCTGTCAGGACCAACCTGGGAGGGATACAGCAACCCAGGAGAAGGACCGAGATTAGTCTCCACACTCAGAAATCGAACTCAGGTCTACTGCGCGCGACAGCTAAACGCCTAACCGCTACTCCACAGATACCAGCATGAGGACAGAAGTGAGAAATATCAAAACAACTGCATTGGTTGTGTGTAACACAGTGGGCGGTTTCCGTTTATCATGAACAAAATGCCACCCCAAGACCCAAATCACCTTTAATCAGATGGACAACAGGGTTTCAAAATTTCAACGAGCTGGCAAACTTTGCAGAATGAGGTCAATTCCGAACATGTGCGTCACATCTCAGAAATAGATTGACAAGAATTCTCTTGCAGAAGGTAAGGGGAGAATACTCCCTAGTTGCACAGCCCGATGATTTTTTTTTCGGATTGTCGCGCTTGGGGGGCTCCTTTATGTCGGAATTCGTTTCATTACTAAAAACCGTGAGAGATCCAGGTTGAGATTGCGGGTTGAAAAAGAAGGATAAAACTCTCATTTATTATTTAGAGTATGGATATGTTCCCTCTGCAAGAGGTTCGACAACAGCCATGACCATTCTTGACAGACTTGTGTAATCAATTCTAGTTAATCTTCTTTACACCCAATTTTCTATAACTTGGCAACCTGTTGCTCGGGAAAAAGTCACTGGCGAATTTTCAACATTTTCTTAAGCGGTGTTCACACGTACAGGAGAAATGTTGACAAACAATTCCCGATAATGTAATGCCAAATTCGGGTTTAATCGTGATCAAACAGGCTTCTGGCAATGACTGTTGACATTATTGTGTCGGCGAACACTCGGGGAGACGCTCGCCGAGCATTAATTTAGGACGGCGAGCATATCCCCGAGCGTCTTGCCGAGCAATTAGTTTGAATCCTGGCGCTTGCAGAGTCAAGAAACGTCGCGGCTGAGTAAAATTTCACAGGCCGACAAACTCGCCGATCATGCTGACCATCTTGCCGACCCGTCGCCGAGTTAGTCGGCGGGGAAATGTTATAAGAGGGGGGCAAAATGTTTGTGTTCATTCCTTCAACATGTCTCATATGACACAGACGATGGATGTATACTTCATGTATACATATGTTTACGTATATAAGTATACATATGGTGCCCTTGCTGTTGTGCAGATGCAAGAAGAGGGGAAGAGGAGGAAGAGGAGGAAGAGGAGGAGGAGGAGGGCCTGTTGGGTTAGACCAAGGCTCAAAAGAACTCAGGGCAGTTTGAGAAGCTGAAAGCTGAACTGCAAGTTGACGTCCGTCAGGAACTTCCTCTGGTTTCTCCAGAGTTTTTCAAAGAACTACTAGAGAAAATTGGCCTCACCATCCACAAGGCAAACACTTTCTGGAGGCAGTCACTGGTACCTAACATCAAGCTGGCTGTCACTCTTCGCTACCTGGCAACAGGAAATAGTTATAATATGTTCGTCATGTCAACTTTTGCACGTCGAGCTTGAGTAAGTCAGATTCCCCGTCCAAGATTTGTCCACGGAGAGCAATAATTGAACCCGTAGAGAATGAAATCTAACTCGGCTACCATTCAGATCTCGTCGGCGTGTCACTGTCACTCGGCAACGTATGCAACTTTGCAGGCCGAGCTATTTCTGACTCTCCCCGAATGTTCCCCGAATTTTGACTCGGCGATGTATTTTTTGCTCAGGGAAAATTTTAAACATCTTTGAAAATGTCGGCAAGCTTCTCGTGTAATAATAAATTTCACACGGCGAGACTGAAATATCACGTGGGAAGGGAGGCCGATTGCTCGGCGAAATGTATCCAGAGTAGCCCCGACCTGACTTAGAAATGTTGTCTTACTCGGCTTCATTACTCCTGTATGTGTGAACACCGCATTGATAACGCAAAAAGCGGGTCCTTATGTGAGATAACCTGGGACGATAAAAGTTTGGGCCTGTAAACGTTTTGGGCAATTTATTTTGCTTTAAATGAAGAAAAAAAATGCATGGGACCGTTATTCCTTTCAAGGAAAAAGTTTTACATTATGTAAACCCTGAAACAGAAAACGGGAAACTTTTTCTGCATGTTATCAGGGACACGACGAGAATGCAAAATATTGTGTCTTTGTTGTTGGATATTGTGTGAAGATATCTTCAAGGAGTTAAGAAGAGGCTAAAGTACTAAAGTAATGACACCCCCCCCCCCACACACACACACACACACACACACACACACACACTCACACTCACGAAAAAACCTCAAAACAAAACAAAACAAACAACCAAACAAACAACTAAACCAAACAATTTTAGCTTTTGACTAGTTTTGCACATTTAGGCTTAAATTTTACCCTCGATAACCTAATCTGCTGTGTCCTGAATTCAAAAGGTTTATATACGTCATGCCCTGTTAACTCCTCTCCGGCCATCGTCGTGGAGTTCTAGAAAAAAGCTGAGTGTGTATTCGTTTCTTAATGGGTCATAGGGGTTAAAGTCTTGTGACATGAGTGTAGGTCTGGCTGGAAATAAAACATAAATAGCTTTTGACATAAACTGGAAGAGAGCCTGGAACTGGAAGCTTATGTTGGGTGGAAAAGTACACCACGAAAGGGTTTCTGAAAGGGAGTCTAAGCAGGGGCGGTTCGTTAACTGGGGAACCGATCACTTTTTATTGGCTGTACAGTCACAGCGGACAAGAG